TTTCTAGTCTATTCCAGATGAAAATACCTAGGCAAGCTCCATTTAGACTCTCCATCTAATTGTGTGCCAAAATCTGGGCAATAGATCAGATGTCTCCTTGGTTTTTCTCATGTGAATGCTCAGAGCAAATTTTTTCAATGTTTTTGGGCTTGGTGCCATTATCATGAAGTCATTGGTAAGTAAGGAACATCTAAGAGGAATCCTTCTTTAATTTGAACTTTGTATTAGATCTTCTCCATAATGGTGGTGAGCATCTCTGACAAACATGCATGTCCTAGTTTTATGCTTCTCTTAATACTGATGATTGTATGATCATCAAAGTTATATCTTTTGTTATATCTTTCAAAGAACCCCATATAAATTTGATATAGGGATAGAAAACACTACCTTGGAAGAGAGTCTTTAAGATGCAATTTTGCTCTACTAATTCAAGTATTTTCTCATAGTCAACAATAACAACAACAAAAGTAGTAAAGATATGGTCTACTGTGTTATAATATCATTTACAAAGAGCCTACCAATAAACTCATAAAGAATGCCTTCAATAATGTGAAATTATACAGAACAATTTTGGTCCCATAGAAGTAATGTAAGGAACATTCTCTCCCCCACTCCTTTGTAGAGGTCCATAGGTAAGGAACATTGTATTTAATATCCAGCTTCTCAATGCGTTGATCAATTTTGCCGATTTTGAAAAATTCTTTTTCCTCTTATTCTTTATTTTATTTTATTTTTTAAAAATCTTTGTTATAAAGAATGGGGGAGGGAAACAGAAGAAATCTAGGTAATGTAAAAAAAATCAATAAGAACCTATTTTAAAAGAATGTCCTCAATGAGGGTGCACATTATTCTCACAAAACTTTTGTATAAATGGGAAAGTAGGCATATAGGTTGGTAGTTACTATTTTCTAGGTCGCCTTGATAATTTCTTTTCCCATTTAAATATACTCTTCTTTCATCATGAAAGCTCTATCTCCCCCCCCACCCCTTTTTTTGGTTATCCTGGAATACTCATTCATCTATATTCTCTTAAAGTAAAAAGAAAAAAAAACACCCTCCCAAGAAATCTGACCCCAATATATTTGGAAACATTTCAATTACAAAAATTATTAAATATGTAGACGGGAAAGAGGAAGTATAGGTTACAGCATGAATCTAATTTATCTTTTAAAAATGTGTCTAAGCAGGACACAAGAAAAATCAGTGATGTGGAGGTAATAAAAGAAAAAGAAACAATTTATGAGAAGATTGATCAAATGAATTCAACTCTTTCTACTCTGAACTTCTGAACACCCTAATATTCCTCAAATTTTGTAACAATGACTTGACATCAACAAAAACTTGATTCATTGAATTTGAAGCACAAAAATAAATTCCATAAATTGCTAGGGAGACAGAGCTTTAGAAGGGTCTAGAATAGGGATTTTTAACCTTTTTGTTGTGTTTCTTGGACCTCTGGCAATCTGGTGAAGCCTGTGAAATTCTTCTCAAAATATTTTTAAATGCATAAAATAAACTATGTAAGATTACAGAGGAAGCCAATTATGTCGAAATAGTTATCACAAAATATTTTAAAAGCACCTGTTTACAGACTCCAGGTTAAATACTTGACATAGAGGGTATGGGTTTTGGATGCCTACTCCTCAATGCAGAAATTTGAGCTCTAGAGATGTGATAGGGGAGTCTAGAGACAACAAAATGAAATAATTGACTTTATAGCCCAACTCTTCTCATCCCTACACTAAGACTCCAAGTGAGGTTTCACTGGTCCTCTGGTTTCACCCAGATGTATCAATCAATGAGTAAGTATTTGTCCAAATGCATGCAACGTGCCTGGCACTGGAAATATAAATGTAGAAGTGTGCAAGTGATTGCTTTCATAATGCTTAGTCCCAGGTCCTGGTTTTTTGCTGGTGTCCATCCCCAACTCCTCCTTTGAATTCATTCGACAAATACAATCTGTTGTCAAATCAGCTGTCATATATGTCTTCATCTCTTCACATAACAGCCATCCTAATACAGATACTCATCATCTCTAATGCACTAATGCCCATGCTTTCTGGTTTACTTCCTTGCCTCAAGTCTTTCCCCCATTCCAATTCATCCTTGACTCTGCCACCAACATGATTTTCCTAAAACAAAAGTCTGTTGTCATTAACCCACCTCCCTCCATACTCAATAAACTCCAGTGGCTATTATGGCCAAGATCAAACATAAAATGCTCTGTTTGGTTTTTAAGGCTTTTTATAACCTGGCTTCTTCCTACTTCTTTGGTGTTCTTATACTTGACTCTTCTCCACAGACTTTGCAATCCATCCCTGCTAGCCCACTTGCTGTTCTTCACAAATAATACTCCATTTCCCAAGATGATTTTTTGCTGGCTGTCTCCAACACAGAATGGTTTCCCTCCTTATCTTCTCCTACTGTCTTCCCAGACTTCCTTCAATAAGCTCAAATCTCACCTGCTACAGGAGGCTTTTCCTAATTCCTCTAGCTGCTAATACCTTCTTGTCTGAGATTACCCTTTGTCCAACCTGTATATACCTTGTACATAATTATTTGCGTGTTGTTTTCACCATTAGAATGTAAGCTCCTTAAGGATAGGCACCATAGTGGGTTTTTTCCTCTTTGTATCTTCGTTGCTTAGTATAATATTTAGCACACAGTAAGTGTTTAAGAAATGTTTGCTGACTGTCTAGTACTGTAACAGCTAGTTTGTAACTATGAGCAAAGGGTTGCCTTGTAGAACCTAGAATTGGTCACCAATTGTAGGCACGAGTAGCATCGCAGATTCCGTGTTGTCTCTATCCACAGCAGGGTCTCCAGGAGGATAGGAATGAGAACTCTTGTGCTTCTGGGCCATATCAGTCCCTGTATATATGTCCTCTTCTTTCTTTGTTCACCTACTACCATCAGAATCTTAAGGTAAAGCACACCTGAGATGTAGCTGGGTCAGTGAGAAACACAAGAAACCTCTGTACAAATCTTGTAAGAAGTAGGATTCTTTTTTCTTTTAAAAAAGGAGAAATTATGACAGAACAATGTCTGACAAATACAGAAATATGATTCTGGGCACAAGTTTAAAGTATTAAAAAATCAGGTAGGTGTGGATTTAAGTTTTCATTAAATCAAAGCTGAGGCAGGCTTGTGGGTAGGGCAAATGACAGAAAGCTGAGTGTTTGAAAGATAGAAATGTTATTTAAATTATACAAAATATATAAAATTGTTTCAAGACTAAGGCTGCCAGAATCCATCACCATAGAATCAATTTATAGTCATTTAAATTTATATTCATTTATATTGAATTATGCACATTCTACAAGTACACATATATACATATATTCCCCTTCTTAGGTATGGTTGCCTTGTGACTGAATCCAAATTTCATAGAACAAATCCCCTTAAAAGGATTTGTTCTGTAAAACTTAGACTCAGTCAAAAGGCCGCACCCAAGGACCACAGGTGGCTTTGAGACTGCAGGTTCCCTATCTCTGGAAGGAGTCCTCATGCTCCAGTTTCAGATCTAAGGTTTTTGTGCTCAGAAGAGTAGATGGATAGATGTGGGATAGGATTGCAGCTTGGGGTGGGAAGGACTAGGTAAGTGGACAAGAAGTTGTGGGATTGGATAGGAGAAAAGGGCTAGCAATAAGAGACAATATGTTTAAGTAGGAGAGAGAGTGATAGTCACTGAGTAGACTGTTCCCTATAATTATTTGTAATATTTGTAATTATTTTTAAAGGAGTTGGTTTTCATTTTATTCTATTCCTGTGATTTCATTGGTATGGGAGACTTCCAATGAGGAAAAGTACTCCATGGATGCAGATCCCCACTTATTCTGCCACTTAAAATTTGAGGGAGGGGTTAAGTGACCTGACTGGGGGGCTAGGGGTGTCACACAACTTATTTGCATCAGAGACAGTAAATCCAGATATTCCTGGCTCTGAGGCTGGCTCTCTACACACCTCTCATATAGATTTTTGCAAACCTCTGGCAAACAGATTTGATTTTTCTTTACCCAAAAGGTCATCATTCTCTTCCTCTTATCACAACACTTTAATATTTGCATAGAGATTTGCACATAGGTTATCTCATTTATTCCTGAGAACAATTCAGTGTGGTAGGTGATGTCATTATTATTTTCATTATTTTGAGTTTCTAAAAATCAAACCTTACTTTTTCTTTTAAGAAAAATCTTTTTTTTCTCCTTCCCACCTTCCATCCAACCATTAAAAAAAAGAGTCACAAAACTCTTGAAAGAAATATGTTTTGGGGCAGCTAGGTGGCACAGTGGATAGAGCACCAGCCCTGGATTCAGGAGGACCTGAGTTCAAATCCAACCTCAGACACGTAACACTTACTAGCTGTGTGACCCTGGGCAAGTCACTTAACCTAATCAAAAAAACAAACAAACAACCCCCCCCCAAAAAAAAAGTTTGTTTAAAAAAAAGGAAATATGTTTAGTTAAGCAAAACAAAATCCACTTTGTTCATGTCAAAGAAATATGCTTCATTCTATACCCCAAGTCCATCATATCTCTGTCAGGAAATGGGTAGCATGGTACAAGTGTAGCCCTTTGGTTAATCATTGCACAAATTAGAATTTTTAATTCTTTCAAAGTTTCTTTTCTTTACAGTTTTGTGGTTACTGTAGAAATCATTTTCCTGGCTCTGCTTACTTCTTTCTGCGTCAGTTCATATAAGACTCTTCATGTTCTACTGAAACTCTATCTTTAACGATTTATTGCAGTACAATAGTATTCCATTGCATTTGTATGCCATAGTTAATTCAGCCAGAAGATATGATTATGCCCATTTTATAGAGGAGGAATGAAGGATGGAAGAGGTCAAGTGACTTTCCTGGGGCCACACATCTAGTAAATGCCTGATTTGATAACAGGTCTTCCTAACTCCATGTATAGAACTTGAACTGCTGCCCCCACCTATCTGCTTTGAAAACATTTGGCAGCCTAAACATGAAGGGAACAGAAATGATTGGGTACCTTATCACTGAAAGTCCAGCTCCAATGTAATTTAGCAGGGGCCTTGATACGTCTTCAGGATCCATTCCAAACCATCCAAACCTGAAAAAAAAATCAACATAGTTGGCTTAGGTCTTATTGAAAAGTTGAAGAGTTTTGAATTTTGTCCTTTTATAACCATAAAGATTCTATGGTCAATTTGGTTGGTGGAGAAGATGTCACAGAAAGAACTTTGTTCTGAGCCTTGGACAAAGGAGTCAATGGTATGTCTAATTTCAGTAGAAAATCCCTTGCACAAATCTTGGAAATGTTTGAAGTGAAACAGGTAATTTTTAAATGGGACTTGTGATAACAGAGCTTAAAATCTCTTTCCTGTCAAACCGCTTCACAGCCTTTAGCTTTGGTCCAAATCACTACAAACACTCTCTATTACCAATAGTGATACTAGACTGTAAGTAATACTAGACCAGTAGTGATACTAGACTCATTCCTTGTGAGTAGGGAATATTTTGTTCATTGTATTTGTATCTCCCAATGTTTAGTAGTAAGGGCCACTTCATATTACTTGCTGATTGAGGATGAGGAGAAGCTGGGGATACTTTGAGGTTTATATTAAAAATGAATAATAGCCTGGTCTTCTAATTTATAAGAATCTTTAAATTGGTCAAGACTGGTCTGTAGATAACAGGCATCTAGTTGTTTGCTAGACCTATACACCTATTACTAGCTTGATAGGAGCCTCTAAAGTTTACATTTTACTAGGATAGCCTTTGAGACCAGAGTCATTTCCATGACACCATTGGAAAATGGAGGAACACTTCAGTTTAGGAGATAGATGGCCTCCTCTCCCCAACTGAGGTTCTGGTTTTATGAAATAATTCTTCAGGTAAACATTACAGGAAGACTTCAAAGGGGGAAGTATATCCTACCTCCTGTCCTCAACTAAGGCTTTAATCTTACAAAGTAATACTGACAGATCAGATAGTCCTTTTCCATGGATTTACTAAATTTCCATGGATTGACTGAATCTTCTTTAAAAATTATAATGAAATTTAATTAAAAATGTTTTTCTCTTAAGGTTTATTAAATTACTCTTTGCATCTCTTATTTGACATTTGTCCTGGTACCATATAGAGTGATTAACCTTGTTATACATAGGTTACACACACACACACACACACACACACACACACACACATGTGTATATACAGATGTGTGTAAAAGTTCTTTATGTAGGTAGATATAAATATACACATGGGCATTATATATATACATATACATATGTACAGGATTGTAAGGGTATGTATATAAGTATGTGTATATGTATATATTATATATAAATATATATATTTCTTTATACATAAATACATGCATATATACCTTCCTTTGTCAAAGTCCTACTGTCATGCCTCACTGTGGTACAGAGCTGCCTCAGGTTGCTTTGAGACAAGGCCAGCAGAGTACATTCTCTGACAAGTACTTGCAACACGTGATGTTTTTGAGGATAGATGCAGTAATGGATGATGTGGCTACCATCAGAGGATAGTACCTATAGTGATGAAATCACAGGATTGTGGAAATAATGAAGTTTTAAACAGTATGGGTTTGTTTTATTTAAGGAGATCTGTAATTTCATTAGTGTGTGGAAATCCTGATACTAAAAATCCCTTGAATCATACAGAACTGAAATTTGTCTGCAATTTAAAATCTTTTTTTTTTGGGGGGGGAGATTCATTTTTTTATTTTCCAAAAATATGGAAAAGTTAAACCTAAAACTAACAGTGTAGCTTGGCTAGTTGCTGTGAAGTTGTCTAGTTCTCCATCTCCATAACTTCTCTTATTCTGTTCCTTTTCCTTTTGGAGGCACTGATTCATGAATTGGGGGAGAGAGGGCATGATCAATAATAGGATGGGGTCAATATCAATGTCAAAGACCTGCTTAGGGGACAGGCTGCGACTTAAAATCTTAAGAGACTTGTCTCAGGACAGTGAGAGGATCTTAGGATCACATTTTGAGCTGGAACAGTTTACTAGATCACTCAGAAGTGATCTAGTCTAATCTCTTCTATTTACAGTTGGTGAAACTGAGGCCTGGAGAAATGGAATGATTTGCCTAATAGCTGAAAAACGAACCCAGGCCATGTGACTTCAGAATTAGTATTCTTTCCACTTGCTTAGGGTTATGGGTATATTACTAAATCAAGGTTCCCTTAATCTGGGATCCTGATGACTGTATTTCAATATAATTGATTTCCTTTGTAATTTAGTATATTACATATATGCATTTAAAAAAATTATTCAGAGTAGGGGTTGGTCTAGGCTTCACTAGAATGTGAAAGGAGTCCACGAAAAAAAAATTATCATCTTTTGGGTTTGTTTTGCTACCTTTCAAATATATTAAAGCTAATATGTAATTTTTTAAGGCTTGCAAAGCACTCAACATGTATTACTATTTTATTCCTCTGCTACCTGGAGGGCATATTACTTATAACAAAGAATTTTTAAAAAGGTAGTGGTGGGGGAGAAGTAAAGTAAAACTAACCAACATGCCAATTGAGCCCACTAAGTCGATTGAGTCATTTGACCCTCCCCGGCACATTGTCTCTCACAGGGAGGAAGGTGCATTTTCAAAGAATATCTCATAAATTTATTTTGTATCCCTAGTGCCTAATATGGTGACTTGCACAGAGCAGGAGCTCTATAAGGGTTGGTTGCTGATGACAATTCTGTCTGAATTGGGTTACCTTGAGCTTGCCCAGCCTGTTAGCGAGTTAAATGATCCCCAGATTAGAAGTCCAAGGCCTAAACCAATTGTTTTAACAATAGGGACGACAGTGATGTTACCTGCAACACAAAAATCATAGAGAAAAAGTCTATTACCATAAAAAGTACAGAAAATACAAATAGAAGTAAAACTCAAATTTAAAATCAACAGCAACTGAATGCCTACAGTGTACCTAGTATTTTGCTATATTTCCGATATTTATTAATAACAGCATATTTCTTTGGTATACATTTTAAAGTTATAAAGTCCAAAAGCAAAATTCCCAAAGCAAGATATTTTGGAGAAAAATGTTGGGCAAAGCTACCCACTAAGTTGTAGAAATACTCTTCAGCCTTGGCATGAGCCTTTGTTCAGGCATATGTTATTTTTAGAAAGCATGGCTGATGCTGAAAATGGTTGTGGTTTCATCCTGGCTATGCTATTACATAGAGGTAAAGTGGGCTGTAGGGCTGGATTTGTATCAGAAAAACACCTCTGACCCTGGACACATCACTTAATCTTTCTGAAGGTCATGCAATTCTGTAAGACTGTTAGTTATAAGAGGGTCTTGATCTGGGTTGTGAGTAGGAGTTTTCACACACAGAAAATTATTGTCTTAGCAGATTGATGTAGATTTAGATCTGGAAGGGACCTTAGAGGTCTTAAAGGCCATCCAGCTCAACCCCCTCATAGCACAAGTGAAGAAACTGAGGTTCTTTACCTTGAGGTAAGCTATTAAAGATAAGACTAACCCATGGGAAATCCATACCCCAAATCATATTCAAATGGATAAAGTTCTTCTTTTTGTCCCTCTTTCTCTCTACATTTCTCCCTATCGAAACCTGTTCTGAGAAAAGAATGTGATGAATTCTCACTACTGGATAAATGTCTGAGGCTTAAAGACCTAGATTTTAATCCTGACATAGGGCAAGATATTTAATCTTTCTATTTTTAATTTTCTCATTTGTAAAACGAGGGGATTGAACTATATGATTTGTAGGAACCCTTAGAGCAGGGAATCTTAATCTGGGATCCATAAAGTATTTCAATTTAATTGGTTTCTTTGGTAATCTTATGTATTTTATTTTATTCATTTAAAAACACTGACAGGGGTGCCTAGGCTTTACTAGATTGCCTTAGGGATCTGTGATTCAAATAAGCTCAAGAACCCTTGTTTTAGAGTGTCAACATCCTCTGCCTCATAAAGAATTCCATTCCATTCCATTCCTTTCAATTCGATTCTGCAAGTATTCATTGACGACTATGTGGTAGGTACTGTGTTAGACACCAATGATAAAAAGACAAAAATGAAGTTGTCCCTGACCTCATGAAATGTACATTTTTTGGGGGCAGAGAGCAACATTTACACAGAAACTTGTACAAACATTCCATTTACAGTTGACTTTAGGCAGAAAGGAGGGGAGAGGACTGACAGCTGTGAGACCAAGAAAAGCCTCCTGTGGAAGGTAGATCTGAGATGTGTTTTCAAGAGTTGTCACTCTCAGTATTATTTATCTCTTGACTAAGGGCAAAGGTCCTGTTTGTCTAAGTCAAATAAAGGAAGTTATAATTGTGGAATTCCATGCATCAGCAAGCTGAGTAGGGGAGATATTTAGTTGGGATGTATGAAGGAACTTCCCACAAATTATACCACATACACAGTTGGGTACAGCAAAAGGCTTTGGTTTAAATTCTGATTCCGACACTGTGACCCTTCAATTGGACAAATTGCTTAACTTTTGGAGTCTGTCTCTTCATCTGTAAAATGGGAATAACAATGACCTGTACTTCTTCTAGGAATTGTCAGGAAAGGCTTTTGCAAACCTTAATGTGTTAGGTAAACATGAGTTACTAATATTGTTTTCTCCAATCCGAACTGGAACTGACCTTGGGAATGGCAAGACCAGACATTTCTACTTCACATCCTCATTAGACTTTATTTATTTATTTGCTTTTTGGTGAGGCAATTGAAGTTAAGTGACTTGCCCAGGGTCACACAGCTAGTAAGTGTGTAATGTCTGAGGCAGATTTGAACTCAGGTCCTCCTGACTTCAAGGCCAGAGGTCTATCCACTGTGCCAACTGGCTGCCCCCTCATTAGACTTTAAAAGGGGCAGGTGCTCACAGAAAAGGTGAGAGAACAAACATTAATTAACTACCTATTATGTGCGAGGCACTGTCCCAAACACTTTACAATATTTTTTTCATTTGATCCTCACAACAGCTCTGTGAATATTGTTAGTGAAGTAGAGATGGGATGCTTTGAATTTTGTCACCTGCTGATTCCTGCTCTGAGAGGAAGCTCCTTAACAATGGGGAAGCTAGTTTACAAAGTTTACCTGAGGTGTAAGAGTGAAGGACTGCAAGAAGAGGGGGAGAAGTGGCATTTCCAGGACAGTGTTTCTGAATAGGACTTTCTTTCTCCTATTTCCAGACATTTCTACAGGTCTGGGATGCTCTTTGCCTCATTTCTGTCTTTTGCATTCTCCAGCTTACTTCACTTTCCAGCTGGGGAAGCCAAACAGTGCAGTGGACAGAGCATCTGGACTACAGACAGAAGGTGTTAAGTTGAAACCTGGCCTCAGATACTAGCTATGTAAAGACCCTAGGTGGATCACTTTAAGCTCTGTTTGCCTCAGCTTCCTCATCTGTAAAATGGGGATAACGATAACACCTACCTCCCAGGGTGGTTGTGAGGATCAAATGATATACTATTTGTAAAGTGCCTAACACATAGCAAACACTATATAAATGTTAGCTGTTGTTATTATTATCTCCTACTCAAGGCTTTTTCTGATCCTTGGAGTTATCAGTGTCCCCACTTTTCAACATGAAATTATTTTGTATCTATGTTGTAGATACACTGTGTTTACTAATTTGTATATTTGTACCTCATACTTACATATCACTTTAAAGTTTGCAAAGCACTTTACAAATATTATCTTATCTTATTCTTGTGACAACTCTGGATTATACGTAGTATTATTACCCTTATTTTCCAGATGAGGAAACTGAGGTAGACAGAGGTAATGACTTGCCCAGTGTCACAGAGCTAGTATCTGAATTCAAATTTGAACTCAGAGCCACCTCACTCCAGTTCCAGCACTTCATCTGTGTGCCACCTACTTGCTTCTAGTCCTTGTAGACCCAGCACCTACTATATTATCTAGGAGGTAACAATAATAAATGCTAATTAAATTGAATTGGGGAATAATTTGGTGGCATTCATCTTTGTGGCATTGGCCAGGGGCTTTGCTCTGGTTAAAGTAATGTTACTCTTAGATACATATTCATCAAAAGAGATTGCTAAATTTCTTGTTAAAATTGCTAAAATTTTGGGCTAACGATTCCTGACTGTGTAGGAAAAAAATCTGACAGATCTGATTGGTATACAAGTAGGTTTTTAAATGAACTGCATTGGAACTGCCCCCCTCCATCAATTGTTAGCTGTGCAAGTTAATCAATATAATGATGTGCTCCTTGTAAAAAGAAACAATGAAAAGTATTTGAAAATACATCATAAATGCATTTAAAAACAAATGGCCCCAATGATTTTGGGAAATTTGGCTGTTTTAAAAATAGCATAAAGTTTTAGGGATCATGAATTTTTTATGAATGTATATTACAAAGTATCTTCAACCCAAAGCCTAAAATTGAGCATAAGAAGATGGAATTCCTGCCTTGAATGTAGAGTGGAAAGTAATCTTTGAGGTCATCTTTATTTGGCAGATGAAGTAACTTGGCTTGCCTAAAGATACATGTAATGTAGGGCCAAGATGTTAACTCAAGTCCTTTGGTTCTAAATCATTGCCTCCTTGATAGTGTAGTAGATAAGGCATTGGTCTTGGAGTCAGGAAGACCTCGAGTTCAAATTTCATATCTGACATTAGCTCTGTGACCCAGGGCAAATCACTTCTCTAGGCTTCATTTTCCTTGTCTATAAATGAGGGGCTGTACTCAATGGTCATTTCTAGTTCTAATTCTATGAACCTAAATTGATGGGTTTATGATCTCATTGATGTGAGCACTTCTGCCTCCATTAGGAAGGACGTAACCACTCACAAGTTTTTCCAACTCTTGTCCAAATCCTACTTGGGAACTGGGGTAGTACTCAAGATACTGGGTGTCTCCTTGACATTGTATGGCTACCAATGGAGTTTATTGACTATGTATGCCTTTCTCTTGTTATATGACCAATGTCCCTCTTATTTCAGGCACATAACTCTTAGCTAACATCCTTTATTCTATGCCTTCAGCATAATTTTTCACTACTTGTACATTCCAGCCTATTTATAGCCACATGTGCCTCTGTACTTCCTCTTACTATATTAAATACATGACAGATAGAAAAGTCTAGAATGTGTATTGTGATATAGTAAATTATTGAGCAGTTTTTATTTCAGCTAATGAGGATTCATAGTGAAGAAATGACTTAAAGCAATGTGTTAAGCAACAATCACTATTGGTACTAGTCTACACAAAGGAAACGAAAGAGATCCTAAGGAAAGGGTAAAATAAAGGCATAGTGTTAGAGGGGAAAGGATAGAAGAGCTGGAGTCAGGACTTAGGTTCAAATCCAGATTTTGTTACATTCTGCCTGTGACCATAAGTGAGTCTTTTAACCTCTGGGTCTTCATTTTCCTCTTGAGGGGATTGGATTCAACCTCTAAGATCTCTTCCAATTCTAAATCTTTGAGCCTACAGTTATAAAGGTCATATAAATATAACATTAAAATGTAAACATGCATTATTTTAGTCATAGTTTTTAAGTAACAAAAGATCTTCTATACATTACCTGTGGCCCAGACACAACCCCCAAGCATTGCGAGAGGCCAGAACTTTGGACAATGGAGTAACAGATTGACCACTAAGGAAACTGTCCATATGGCAGCACAGAGAATCCATTGAAGAAACATTCCTGACAACAGAGCAATAATTTATTATCAAGGGCTTACACCTCAATTTTACTAGGTATATGCTTAGAGATATTTGTGGGGACACTTGTCTCACTGTTGTATTTTCTTTTCACTGACTATGCAAAGCAAACTGGATTTCTTCCCACCAATAACTGAAGTCAGTGAGTGATTCTACACTTCCATCTTGGTACTGTGCTGGTTACCATAGCTAACTGAAGAAAACTGACATAGAATTAATTTCATATAACAGCTTTCTGATGCTCATGTTTTTGTGATTCTTGTTATTGCCCTAGTGATAAAATAAATAAATAAATATGTATATGTGTGTGTGTGTGTACAATAAAATAAAAAAGGAGGAATATAAAATTAATTATTTTAAGTTCCTCTGGGCTGAGACATAAAAAAATCAGGGGGTTAGTTTCCTATAAATGAAAACATACTTTCTAAGTTCTAAGCAGCCTTTTAATGATGTGGGGGTAGATAGGTGAATGCATTTCCTGAAAAGTTTTCCTTTAGCAACCTTTGGATTTCACCCACTGTTGGCAAAAATAATAAAAGTCAAACTTCAGAAGAGTCAAGAAAGTCCATAACCAAAAGGTTCAAAAGGTTAAAAGAGAGAAGCTAGAACTGCAAGCAAATAAATTGTAATACAAGTATTTGCCCAGCTGAGAAGAAAAGGAATGAGATGGAAATTGGCTGGAAAACCAGCTCAATGAGAATGGCTGATGGTAGGCTGTTGAATGCATTTGTTGTAATTATTAGGGAGCTGCTCATACCCTAAAAATAGGTATCTATCAGTTAATGTGGTAGAAAAAGGTAACAAAGTTCACTATAAAAGAGACAGAGCCACAGTACAATACAAAGCAGTTTGCCCCTAGTTTAGCAGGAAAAAATGGACAGTGGGAACCATCAAGAATCAAGGATGTTAGTCTCATTAAAATATGAAGAGAAATAGAAAACTGTAACTGATTGTTGCCTGTGGAAGGAACAGAAATAGCTCAGTCACAAATTATGTGTTTATTGGGTACAAATTGAATTGTCTGTTATATGAGGTGAAAGGGTTAGAAGAATGCTTCTTTCCTTGCCTTTCCCTTGTCAGGGAAAATGAAGTCATCTTCCCTGGTAGGATAGAAGAAATGTTCCAGGCTGAAAAACAGAACAGAAGGGGTACTGTAAGACTTGAAAAGTCATATGCTTTGATCTTCAAAAATGGTAAGAAAATGAAATTTATCAACCCTAAACCAGTGAGTTTGACTTCACTTTCTGGGAATATTTTAGAAAACTTTATTATTAGCATTTTTTTAAACCAGACTTATAATTTCATCAATGTAGGGAACAAGTCTTAGTGATGAATTTTCACTTCTAAATGCCAAGTGGGCACCTAGTCCCAAACTTAGAGTCTTACTGAGTGGCCTGCATCACTGAGAGGACAAATCGCTTGCCCAGGATCACATAGCCTGGATGTGTCAGAGTAAAGGCTTGATGCAAGTCTAATTCTAAAGCCACCTCCTTTTACCTATGACTATAGCCTCTGCAGTATTTTACTAAATAGATGGTTAGTAAATATCTAGAAAAAGGTACCAGGACAGTTTAAACAAGAACAAGTTATATCAGACTAACATCATTTAAAAAAAATAGCAATATTAGATTGACAGATCAGAAAAATGCAGTAAAGTATACATAGATTTTAGAAAAGGCTTTGATAAGAGTATCTTATGTTCTTTCGGAGAAGATGGAGAAAGGTGAACTAAATAGTTATTAATGATTCTATATCAACTTGAAAATCTTTAGGCAACCTGTCGCTAGCTGTCTAGAGACAGCTGATGCCATAATGGTTAGAGTGTTGGGGCTGGAGTTAGAAAGATCTGAATTCAAATTCAAACTCAGACACTTACGAGCCATGTGACCCTGGGCAAGTCATAACCTCAGTTTCCTCAACTATGAAACAGGGATAATAATAGCAACTACCTAACAGTGTTGTTCTGAGGATCAAATGAAAGAATATTTATAAAAAAAGCACCTAGCACATAGTAGGTCCTATATAAATGCTTCTCTTCCCTCTTTGTAGACTATGGTTCTGAAGTTGGTCCAGTGCTATTTCACATTTTTAGCAATGACATGTCTAAAGTCACACATATCCTTATCAAATCTGCAGAAGATACAAAGCTAAAAGCGACAGCTGATACATTGCATAACAACATCCAAATAGAGCTTGACCAGCAAAATACTGGGCTGGCTTTTATGAAATGAAACTTAATAGGGATACATCCATCATCTTATATTTTATTTCAAGATGCTTTCACGCTTATAAGATGAGAAAGATAGGGTGACACAGCAGTTTGTCTAAAAAAAGAATTGAAAGTTTTAAAAGTGGCTTGCAAGCTCAATATGAGTCAGCCGTGAGATATAGTAACTAAAAAAGCTAAGTCAATATTAGCTTGCATTAAGACAGGCAGAGTTTCAGGAATGAGGATTCTATGGATCCTATGCTCAGCTAGGTCAGATCATATTTGAACATTGTATTTAGGTCTGTGTGCCTTATCTTAGGAAGGACACTGCTAAACTTCAGAATGTCCAGAGGAGATCGACCAGGATGGGAAATGCCTTTGAGTCCATTCCATAGCAGGGAGGATGGAAGGAAGTAAGGGTTGTTAGCTTAGAAAAGACTCAAGAGAAACATGATAGAAGTCTTCAAATATTTGAAAGTCTGTCATATGAAAGATTAAGTAGATTTTTTCCACTTGTCCCTGATGGCAGAACTAGGAACCACGGGAGGAATTTGCAGAGGCGCATTCAGACGATGTCAGGAAAAAAATTTCCTAATAATTATAGGTGTCTAAAAATGGAATGAGCTGTCTCGAAAGGTAGCAGGTTCCCTATGATTGAATGTCTTTGAACAAAGGCTGACTAATTTTATTTGTTGAAAATGTGTTAGTGGGGATTCTTTTTTGGGAATAGGATAGGAAAACAACTGCTAGGGTTACTTTTCCTATGAAATTTTGTGGAAAAAAAGACTGAGAGGAAGAAGAAGGGAATTTACAACTGTCTTGAATTTGAAGGGTGGAAAAAAGAATACTAACTGATATTGATATAATGCCCTATGGTTTAGACATTGTTTAAGCTTTAGTAGCTTAAAACTACACTAAGACTTTTTGGGAGAACCTATATGTTGTTCTCATATGAACCAAACAACACCTCTGTGACATGGCTATTAAAAGTACTATTATTCCTCCCTTCATGACTTTTTTTTTTAAACAAATAGGGTAATTGAAGGCCAGAGAGATGAATATACTTGTCCTTCACCACACAGCTTCTAAGTGTCACAGAAGGGATTTGAACCCAGGTGCTTCCTGAACTCAGGTCAGTCTATCATTTGTTCCACTACACAATGTTGTTTCTCTAAAAATGAGACAGAGATAAAAAGGAGGAAGGGGGATTTCTGTTATACACTTGAAGCTACATATTAATATCTGGTTCTCTCCAGCCTCCCTCCCCACCCCTGCCATGGCTGATCCTGACATCTTGAGAAAGAAGCAGCTTTTATGTTCACAAAATGAAAAGAAGACCCACAGAGGCTACCAGAAATGAGATCATCTATTACTAGTCACAGAGAGAAAAGATATTTGTCTTGGGATCCCTGCTTAGGGATGCTGAGTTAGCCATATGTTGACCTCCCATGGCTAACAACAGAAGTTAGGATGTCCTCATACCCCAGAAATCTGGCACATCATGAACTGTCTTCTGAGACTTGTCCAAACTTTCTGAACAATACCCTCTTCTGATGATTCAAGTGGGAATAAATAGAATCAATATTGAGACCTAGAAAGATTCTCTAGGGTAATAAAGCCTGAAATGAGAAACTTAAGGATTTGAGCACACAGATGACATTTTTACCACTACTTTAAATTGGTGGTAGGAACTTAAGAGAAGAAAGCATAATATTGAAAGTAAATCATTTACTAAGAAGATAGAATCAGAGAATGGTATTTGGCTTAGGAGCTATAGCTCAAGATAGAGGAATTCAAGATTCTTGGCCAGTGTAAGAGTACATCTAATGAGGACTAGGGAAGAATGTATTTGCTTAGTGATTTGCTGATCTCTGATCAGGGGCACTTTAAACCCAGGCTGAAGGGAGTGGTAGAACACTACCTCACTATAACCATGAAATCAGATACCATTAAAACAGCAGGCATGATAGGAAGAATAATAGAGGTATTTAGGAATCAAAGACACTTGAATAAGTAATTTAGTAAACAACTCTCACTCCCATTCTATTAAATCCTGCATTAAAAAAAACTTTTAAAAAAATCCAGGCATTTGTAAAAATGCTTGGATAAAATAAATAAATAACTTTTATAAAATTATAAGTTTTTATAATTTATTAAGAAATGAGTGCTGTGACACTGAAAGTGGAGCAATTCTTTTGGCTACGGGAATGATTCAAAGGTGCTTCAGAAGCATAACGTAGGAAGGTAAATTTCAATCTAGGAATTTTGCAAGAAAACAGCTAAAAGGGACAGAAAGGATACTATGGTCTAAGATGTGTATTGCCAATTGTACTGAGAATAGATAAAAAAAACAAAAACAAAACCTAAAAGTCTTAACATGTATAACTTTCATTGGTAGTTCTAGTAGCTTTCCTGTGTTAATTATTTCCTATTTATCCTATATATTGATTGTTTTGCAAATACTTGTTTGTATGTTGTTTCTGCCATTAGATTGTGAGTTCCTTGAGGGCGGGGACTATCTCTTGCCTCTTTTTCTATCCCTCGTGCTTAGCAAAGTGCCTGGCAAAGTAGATGCTTAATAAATTTTTGTTGATTGATAATTGACTGGTCTTGAGATTTATCTAGGATAGGACTCCATTGGGATACAGCTATGAAAGGGTATACTTGTTTAAAGTAAGGATTGAATACAAGGGAAATGAAATAGTAAGGTACATACGCCAAAAATATATGTCTGTGTGGAAATCTATCTAAAGTAAGATGGAAAGCATTTGAGTGAGCAACAAAAAAGGAAAAACCAAAGGATTTCATGGTCAGGATATCCTGGCACCCATACTTAGTAGCTGTGTGACCATGAAGAAGTTACTTAAACTCTTTGAGACTTTTTCCTTTTCTGTCGATCACAGGATGACAAAACCTCAAAATTGGAGGCCCCTAATATATATGATAATGATAATAATAGTAATAATAAAAGCGATATTTGTATAGTGCTTTAAGTCTTACAAGTAATTTGAATACTTTATCTCATTTAATTCTCACAAATCTGTGAACTTAGTCATTATAAGTATTATTATGTCCCATTTTAACAATACAAACTTGCTTAAATAATGCTTTATGTTTCATCTTCATTGTTTCTGTGACTCTTTGCTCTTAGAGATATGAGTACTTCCTTGAGCTAGGTGGTACACTGGATAGAGTGCTGAGCCTAGAATCAGGAAGACTCTTCCTGAGTTCAAATCTGGCCTCAGACATTTACTGGCCATGTGACCCTGGGCAAGTCACTTAACTCTGTTTGCCTCTGTTTCTTATTTGTAAAGTGAGTTGTAGAAGGAATGGCAAACCACTCCAACATCATTGCCAAGAAAACCCCAACTGGGATCATGGAGAGTCAGATATGACTGAAATGACTGAACAACAACAACACTACTTTCAAAGGTAGAAATCACAACCCATCCAAGCCTTTCTTATCCTATGTAATTCTTACCTGTACTTTAAATATCTTCCACAGGATATACCCAACATGCTGTGGACCTTTGTCAGGGTCTTTTAACATTCTATAAGTACCAGAGCATCACCTGGGCTATTAGTTTGTCATATCTTGTTCTCCATGTGTGACTGGCTGACCTACTTTTCCAATCATACAATGTTCTTGATGATATCTGACAGCATAAATCATTGCTAGCAATATGTGGCAGCTTACTTATGTCTTTTTCTACATAGTACCTTTTAAATCTTTCACTTGCCTTGCTCCTGATTTCATCTTTCAGAATCTGAGAAAGAACTAGCTGCCAAAGCAGACAGGATGATATTGCTGGAGCTGAGATAAGGGAGGAAATACCAGGGATAGTGCCAGTGGTATGCTAGATTTTAGGGAAGTAGAGCTCAAAGAGTTCAGAAATAATAAAAGCATAATCTTAGGATCTGACAGTATTTTTTTTAAAGTAAGTTGGCTTTGGTTTTGGGGACTTTCAAGAATGAAATGCTTAAATTATAATTGTAGTTGATTCCGGTAAGGGCTGTGCTGAAGCCCTGATCATCAGATCTGATTGTTACATTTTCAGCGTGAGCATTTTTGCCTTGGAAATGGGCAAACACTATAAGTCAGGGCTTGATTTACTGTTTTGTTGAACTCTAAAGTTAAAGAAAGTGATGGAGAAAATATGAACAATGCAGATTAAAAAAAAAAACTACCTTTCTGTATTCCCAAACCAGCTGTTAGATATTTACCAGCCCATCACTAATTCCAATGAAGAAGAAAAAAGAGATGTGTCAAAAGAGACCAATGTGGCTGCAAAGGGAGCCTAAATATGATGAGTTTACTTTTTTTCTTTTTTTGGTGAGGCGATTGGGGTTAAGTGACTTGCCCTGGGTCACACAGCTAGTAAGTGTTAAGTGTCTGAGGCTGGATTTGAACTCAGGTCCTCCTGACTCCAAGGCCAGAGTTCTATTAGCTGCCCCTGAGTTTACATTTTTTAAGGGCATATGGGGTATATGTACACAAGAACTAAGAGAACATTATATATAGTAACAGCAATATTTTTTAAGAATGGCTTTAAGTGAATAACCATGACTAATGTGAAAATATGTTTATTAGGAATGTAAATGTGTAGCCTATATCAGATTGTGTGCCATCTTGGGGATGGGGGTGGGGAGAAAGGGGGAGAAAAATTTTAAGCTCAAGAGCATATGAAGTGATTATTGATAAATCAAAATAAATTAATAAAATTTAACAAAAAATAAAGCATGCCTAGCTAATCATAACTCTTTTTTTTGAAAGTGTTATGAGACTATTTAACTGCAGACCCCATAGTCCCAGTCTATCTGCATTTTGGTAAGGCATCAGAAAACTGTCTCATATCATCTCCAATAAAATCAGGATTAGATGATAATGTTGTTAAGAATTATTTGAAATACTGAACCCCAAATGTTCACTAATTAATTATTGGCCTGGATGGAGATTCCTAGCAGTATTGTGTAGACCTCTGTCCTTGACTCTGTTCTGTTCAATCTTTATTTAATCTATGACCTGGATGAAGACATGAAGAGATAGGGGCAGCTAGGTGTCACAGTGGATAGAGCTCTGATCTTGGAGTCCAGAGGACCTGAATTCAAATCCGGCCTCAGACACTTGACACTTACTAGCTGTGTAACCCTGGGCAAGTCACTTAACCCTGATTGCCTCATCAAAAAGCAAAAATACAAAACACAAACAAAACCATGAAGATATAAGGAAGATGAAGATATGAAGATGTAGATGTTATACTAATCAAATTGGTACATAAATAAAACACTGAAAAGGATGGTTGATATTGTTAGATACCAAAAAATCAAGATACAAAAAGATCTTAACAGTTGGTGTGATGAAGTATAATCTAATCAAATGAAACAGTATGAATACATTTAAGATTCTGGCATTTGGATTTTCAAAAATCAATTGAAAAAGTATAGGATTAGGGACGGGGGGTGTCTAGAAACTAGCTAAGGTGAATAAGACCAACAGGTTTTAGTGGTCTGAAAGCTCAAAATGAGTTCATAGTATGATATGGCAGCTGGCAAAACTAATATGATTTTAGGCTGCATTAGTAGAAGTATCTAGAATGAGCTGTGATCATTTCACTCTTCTCTGTCCTGGTAAGACCACACCTGGAGTTTTATATCCAATTGTAGGTGCCAGATTTTAGGAAGGATACTGAGAAATGGCAATATATCATTCCAAAGCAGGGTGATCAGAACAGTAAGACATTAAAAATGTGCCATGTGATGATTACTTGAAGGGAAAAAATAATTTTTAGATCTGTCATTTTAAAAACTCAAATATATTTTCTATAAAATTTGAAATCTAAAGTTTTAAAAACATATTTTTTAAAAAAAGTTTTCACCTGCTACTGGGAAATAAGAAATACAGGAAATGGTGTACAGAAGTCTATCCTGCCCTATGGGAAAATAGAAGGAGAAGGGGATAAGAGAAGCAGGGGAGAGATAGAAGAGAGGACAGACTAGGGGAAGGGATATTCAGAATGCATGCCATCTTGGGGTGGGGGGAGGGGTGAGATGGGGTGAAAATTTGGAACTCAAAATCTTGCAGAAGTAAATATTGAAAACTAAAAATAAATAAATTTATATTAAAAAAAATAATCAGAATGCTCCTGGTCAAAGGTGTGTGTGTATGTGTGTGTGTGTGTGTGTGTGTGTGTGTGTGTGTGTGTGTGTGTATGTGTGCATGTATGTGAATTACCATCACCAGTGTCAATTTTTTTAACTGGAACAAAGTTGGACCCAAATAAGACAACAGCTATAGCTGAGGAGATGAAGCCGGTAGTGACATCTGTTCCATTGTTGTTGTGTTCCATGGTGGTGCTGCTTCCTGGGAGCCAGCTGAGGATATTGAAGCTTGATGTAGTTTCAGTGTGGTATAGTTTCTCTTCTAAAAGAAGAGAAAATGAAGAAATGAAAGTTGTGAGAGTAAGCATTATCTTACCTTGAATGTGACTGAGGGAAATTTAATGTTTTACATTTTCCAGTCATGTATCCTGAATCTAGAAGTGAATGGGGGAAGTTCAACAGCCAAATCAGAATTAATCCAATGGTTCTCCCTGATATCTGAGATTGGGTTTCGTTCTATGAGATTTTGGAATATTGCTCAATGATGGATGCTTAGGAAGCAACAACAACAATTCATGTGAATATTGAAACAGATTATATTATTATTATGCTTTAAAATTTCCACATTTCCTTAATTTTCCCAAAGATTAAGGAAGGAAACAAATTTTTATTAAGGACCTGCTATATGTCAAGCACTATGTTAAGTGCTTTACAAATATTATCTCATTTGTTCCTAACAAACACCCTGGGAGGTAGTTGCTCTTATTATACCCATTTTACAGATGAGGAAATTGAGGCAGATACCTGTTAAGTGACTTGCCTGCAGTCATACAGCTAGTGTATGAGATGGATTTAAACTCAAGTTTCCCTGACTCCAGGTCCAGCTCTTTACCCACTATACCATCTATATGCCTCTTCTACTACACCACATGGATGGTAGACACCTCATTTTACAGATCAGGAAACTCTAGCATAAAGAGGGTTAGTAATATGTTACTAAATCATTCCAGGCCTACTGCTTTCAGTTTCCTCAACTGAAAAATAAAGGGGTTAAATTAGATCATCTGTAAGTTTTCTTCTGGTTTTCTGTTTTTTTTTATCTAATAAAAAATATCACATTTATATTGTGCTTTAAAAGTATAGAAGTCACTTTCTTCACAACAACTCAGTAAGAAGTAGAAAAATGAGGCAGGTAGGTGATCCAGTGGATAGAGAAATGGACTTGGAATCAGGAAGACATGAATTCAAAACCTGCCTCAGATACTTACTGGTTGTATGGTCCTAGATAGGTCATTTCATCTTTCTCAGCCCGATTTTTTTTCCTTTATAAAATGCAGATAATAATAGTACCTACATTATAGGTTTTTTCTAAGATAATACATGTAAATGAGGTACTATATGTACAGCGCTTTGTAAACCTTAAATCATAAACATAAATATATACAATTACATATTTGATACATATGTGTGTGTTGCTATATAAGTTTTAGTTATTCTTATTGCATTTTACAGATAAGGAAGCTTAAAGTCAGAGAGTCTCTATGTGTCTTGTTCATGATTACACAGTCTATATAGGCTAAACCTCCCCCAATTTCTTCAACTGATGCTCATGTAACATGAACTTGCAATCCTTCACCATCTAGGTTGTCTTTTCCTAGTCACTAACCCTCTTACCTTTTTTTTTTTAGAATACATCTATTATGTGGGCATTTTTGGTTTTTTTCTCCACTGATACAATTCAGAACCTCATTTTCAATTTATAGTCTTAGGGTATTGCTGGGATGGGGGTGGAGAAGAGAGAGAGGGATAAAAAGAGGGATTGGGTAATTAGCCTAAATCCTATAAGTACCTCAAACTCAACCTGTCAAAATCACTGTCTTCTTCCCTAAGCATTTCCCTTCCTGGTAGCAGTTTGACTGGAGATAAGGACAGAGATGCAAGAAATATTATGGAGGTACAACAGACAGGACTTGGTAACAACTTGGATAAAGGGAGAGATAAGGGAGTAGGTAGATACAAGCACAACTCCATGGTTATGGGCCTAGGCAGGCAGTTCATATGATGGTGATGCTCTCAACAGACATAGTGATATTTGGAGGAAGGGTGGATTTAGAAAAGAAGAGTGGTTATTTTGTTTTGAACATTTTGTGGAGTTGTTTGGGAGATCCAGGTCTTCAGATATTTAGAAGGAAGTGTGCGATGCTGGACTGGACTTCAGGAAAACTGTTAGTGTCAGCATACATTGATTTGGGAGCTAGATGCCTAGAGCAGGTGAGATCATTATGGGAGAGAGTATATAGAGAGAAGGCACAGGACAAAGCCTTAGGGCAAATCCCTGTTTATAGAATAGAAGATATTTGAGGATCTAGCAGAGAATACTGGAAAGGAGCTACAAAGACAAATAGGTGGAGAATGAGGAATCATCAGTATTTTGCCTTTAGATCTCAGAAAAGTTTTGGCCCGAAAATTAGTTCTACATCTAAATATTGCTTGTGTTTTTGTTTTTTTTCCAGACTTACCCAGACTCAGGGAGGGAGACACCTGGTAGAAACTTGTGATAAGAATTTGGATATTACAAGTATGAAAAATGATTTTCAGAACTTCCCCCCTAGCTCCACCCCCTTCTCTAAAGTTCTTCAAAAGGACATTACTGATAATGAGATTTTCTTCAGTCTTATCCTGGTCAAACTCCAACCCAGGCCTGAATTGATTTAATCTGCTCAGGCTTGGGTGGAAAAAAGATTCTTCTGCATAGATAGCCCAGGTCTGGGAGTGGTCTGGTTCATCTGTCCATAGTTAATGATGGTGGGGGTGATATCAGCTCCTGTTGAAAGGGTATATAAACTGGGCACCCCAAATGTCAAATTGAGCCAGTTCTGGACTGTGATACCCCTGCATGTCAAGCCAGCTTGTGAGAGAAATTAAATGTGGACATACAATCTAAATAATTTCTTTCTCTGAATAAACTCTGAGAGGCAGCTAGGTGGCACAGTGGATAGAGCACCAGCCATGAAGTCAAGAGGACCTAAGTTCAAATCCAGCCTCAGATCAAACACTTGACACTTACTAGCTATGTGACCCTGAGCAAGTCACTTAACCCCAATTGCCAAAAAGAAAAAAGAACAAACTCTGTGAGAGGCTGACATTTAAATGGTGCTGTGACTCAGATTTGCCTGGGAATTGGAGGCTGGACTGTTCTCTTTGACAGTGCTGGGATTGGGCACCCACATAACTCTTTTCTGAATTTCCAGCCTTGAACATTGGGTGAGTCTTATCCCCAAAACCCTTACTCCTTATCTATCGGGTTCCCTGTTTATGTTGCAGTCCATTTTTCACTCTAAAAGGCTCTGGGGGGTAGATTCCTCAAGACAGGTCTCCTCTGAAAGGATATCATCTGTAATTTGGCTATGGGTCAGTCAGAGTAAATTGGTGTGTGATAAATTGTATTGTAATCTGAAATGATTGCTTTTAGAAGGATGTGTAACTAAAACTAAATTTTGACCAGTCCAATTCTAATTCTAAACTAGTCCATCTTTAAAAACAAACAAAGCCTAAAAAGCCAACAAGAAAATTAGATTTCTGGGCAGAGCCAAGATGGCAGAGCAAAAGCAACGACTTACTTGAGCTTTCCCCTAAACCCTTCTAAATACCTGTAAAAAATGGCTCTAAACAAATTCTAGAGCAGCAGAACCCACAAAAAAAATAGAGTGAAACAATTTCTAGCCCAAGACAACCTGGATAGTTTATTTGAAAGATCTATTGTGCCAGGCTGGGAGAGGAATGCAATTCAGTGTGGGTGCATAGGCAAAGACCAGGCCTTAGCGAACCTGGAGCAGGCCTCAGAGGACTGAATCACAGGCAGCTGTGGTGGTTTCCAGACTTCTCAACCCACAAATGCCAAAGGCAACTTAGAAGGTCAGTAGGAAAATTCTGTGACTGTGGTGAGAGAGAAGCTCATTTACAGCCCCAATCTTGGCACAGTGGCTCTTTTTGGAGCTCCCAGCCCAAAGACTAAGGGGGAATCGAGTGGCTGATCAGAGGGAGATTGCAGGGATCTCTTTGCTGATGCTGAGGCAAGATTATCTTGCTTTGCCTGTGTTTGGATCTGGGTCACAGTTCCAAGTGGTGGTCCTGGGACAAGGAGGAGTGCTGGCGTGGTGGAGCTTGTAGTGGCAGTGTACAGAGAATCCTCCTCACAGTTCCAAGGGAGAAAAGAGTGCTTGTGGCCACTTGCAGATCAGAGCACAGGCCAGGAAAAGAGTGAACACCTCACCCTTGATCATACCACTTTGGAAGAACTGAAAATTTACAGGTCCCTAGAACTATCTCTGAAAACAGCTGCACAAAACCCCTGAAGCTTGGGACAGTACATTCTCCACACTGGAAGCAGATCACTACCTTAACAAAAAGTTTATAATTCAAGTAACTGGCTGGAATCATGAGCAAAATGTGAGAAAGAAGTCAGATCATAGAATCTTTCTTTGGTGACAAAGAAGATCAAAACATACAACCAGAAGAAGATAACAAAGTCAAAGCTCCTACATCCAAAGCCTCCAAGAAAAATATGAATTGGTCCAAGGCCATGGAAGAGCTCAAAAAGGATTTTGAGAAACAAGTAAGAGAAGTAGAGGAAAAACTGGGAAGAGAAATGAGAGTGATACAAGAAAATCATGAAAAACAAGTCAACAGTTTACTAAAAGAGACTCAAAAAGAAAATACTGAAGAAAATAACACCATAAAAAATAGCCTAACCCAAATGGTAAAAGAGGTCCAAAAGGCCGATGAGGATAAGAATGTCTTCAAAAGCAGAATTGGCCAAATGGAAAAGGAAGTCGAAAAGCTCACTGAAGAGAATACTTCCTTAAAAATTAGAATGGAGCAAATGGAAGCTAATGATTTTATGAGAAATTGAGATATTGTAAAACAAAACCAAAAGAATGAAAAAATAGAAGACAATGTGAAATATCTCATTGGAAAAACAACTGACCTGGAAAACAGATCCAGGAGAGATCATTTAAAAATTATTGGACTATCTGAAGGCCATGATCAAAAAAAGAACCGTCACCTTTCAAGAAATTATCAAGGAAGACTGACCTGATATTCTAGCACCAGAGGGCAAAATAGAAATGGAAAGAATCCATAATCACCTCCTGAAAGAGATCCCCAAAGGAAAACTCCTAGGAATATTGCAGCCAAATTCCAGAGTTTCCAGGTCAAGGAAAAAATATTGCAAGCAGCCATAAAGAAACAATTCAATTATTGTGGAAATACAATCAGGACAACACAAGATTTTGTGGCTTCTACATTAGGGGACCACAAGGC